GTACAGGACGTGCTCTCTGTGCTTGGCTGCCGCCTGCCATGTTGGAGGTGGATGCAGCATTTTTTCCTGTCTCTGGGCTCCCCTGGCTCCCATTTGGGTCAGTAATCAGGTCTGTGTCCAATGGCAAGGCAGCCTTCAAGCCCCAAGAGGGGGTTCTGAACTTTCAGAGTAATACCCAGGAACAGGATGGGTGCAAGGTTTGGTTCTGAGGGTTCCAGAGGGAAGATGAGGATTCAGAGATGCACAGATGAGCACAGGAATCTGAGCTTCACCTTAGCAGAAGTCCAATTCTGGGATGAGAGTCAAAACAGAGTATTTCAGGAAACAAGATCTAGATCTGTGTTGGGTTTTGGGCTGGGCTGGCCATCAGGCACTGGGAGAGGGAGGAAGATATGATGTAGAGAGCAGACAGCAGCACGTGGGGTCATACCTGAGGCCCTCTGTGGCTAGGCCTGCAGGACTCAGGAGGTCCAGCAACTCTGGACCCAGTTTTCTGGCCTAGATGTGGGACTGTTCCATCCCCCTCCCTCTAGGCCTGTACTTTCACAATTCCAGGACCACTCTTGATCCAGCTGCTGCAGCCGTCTGGGGCCCAGCTGTTGTATGCTGACTTCAGGCATCCTGGCTTTGCAAGGCCACCTGGGTACTGGAGTCTGGGCCCAAGTGAGCAGGGAAACAGCAAGCCACCCCCTTCCTCTATGGACTGCTCTGGGGGAGATCCTGATCCCAGTCAGCTGGCTCCACTTCCAGCTCTGAGTCTGGTTTAGGGCTCAAGGGCAGACAGACCCATTATATTATTTGGGAAATTTAGTTTTCCCAAAGCCCCCTCACTGGACCCCTCTGCTGCGAGGAAAGTCTGTCACCAGGAGTGACTGGAAATCAGTAGGGACTGGGAGTCAACATGGCCTGAGGGGAACAGGAGGGAGGAGAGGCTATGCAGATCCAGCCCCTTGGCCTGAGGCTGGAAACTGTTGACTCCCTGAATCCCCAGCCCTAGCTCTAAGGAATTAAATGGCCATTTGTAAAGCCTGATGTGATCACCCTGGGACTAAAATCAAAATCCTTTGACTAGGGGGTGAGAAGCCCTTGGAGACCCAGGGAGGAGTTGAGTCCCTACCACTGTACCCGTCCCTCTCACCACCCCCCCGAATGCTATACGCATCTCTAGCCCCAGCTCAGACCCCTGCAGTGTCTTGGCTCCTACTGATCCTTTGCCCCTTCTCAGACCCTTGTAAGCTGAACACTACCCTGTCCCACTTCCTTGCTGGTGCACAGTCTGACTGGGAGGCTCTGGCCTACGTTGACATGGCTAAATGGAAAGGGTCAGGATCACACAGAATGGTCACGTTCCAAAGCTGGGGGAGAAGGGGTGTGTGCCTAGAGAGGGGCTTCCTGCTTCTTTTGTGGAGATGGGGCTTCTTGGAACATCTCTGGAGCATCCTCGAGGTGCTTGGTCCTTACTGAGCAGGTGAAGAGCTGGTGTCCAGGGAGGTCAGGGGCCCCAAGCTGCTCCTCTCAGCTGTTCAGCTTGGCCCTAATGAGCAGCAGGCCTGGCCCTATATCCATCCAGCTGCTGGTCCCCCAGGCTCCTGCAGTAATTGTGGCTGCAGGCCAGGGAGGCTGGCTGGCCATGTGACCCTGGGCTGGCCCTCCCTCCGACCCTGTGATCTGCTTGCAGGCTTGCACGTGGCGTCTCGGGGAGGCAGAAAGGAACCCTCAGATCTTGCCACTGGGAGCTTTTCCGCTCCACCAGAGGCAAAGGATGCTTCTCTTAAAGGGCCATGCCACTTTTAATCTCAAAGCAGATCCTGAGAACAGCTGTCTAGCTCTGCAGGAGGAGCAGGAAGGTGTCCTAGGCGCCATTCAAACCTCTCCAGATCTGTCGTGTTTGTTCTTCAAAACTAGTTAAAATCACAGAGGGGGATGGGGGCTTGGAACAGAACTAGCACTGTTCAAGGGCTTTCTTCATACTGTCCCACAGGAGCCCTGTCCATTTGTCAGAGGAGGAGACTGAGGGCTGGTGGGCCCCCAGGCAGAGGGTTTGATTATCCTGCCAGTCTGAAGGGTGGCACTTAGACCTACATTCATTTAATGAAAGAAATTCGATAGTCTCTCTTTCACATTGAGTAGAGCTGACCTTCCTTCCTGCACAGGTGTCTGTCCTTCTCACAGGCCATGGACTGACATGAGGCAGTGCTGAAAAACCTGGAATTCCCCCTGCAGTACATTATCAGGCAACAAGATAGCCTCTGGTTTATTGGGCAGGTGGGCTAAAAGCAGAAGCCCAGATGTAGGACATTGAAAACGCTGGTCGGGGGAGCAGCTAAAATGCAGAGGACAAAGCTGGCTCTAAAGGACAGAGGTGGAAGGACAGGGGTGTGGAGTAGCCTACAAGTCTCGGAGGCCCCATCCCGGCTGTAGGCTACAGTCTTGTCACTCATCCAGTCAGGGATGGGGCTTAGAGGGGAAGGGGGAAGCCTGCATGGAGAGCAGAGAAACTCTGGGAAAGGTTGATTTGAGCCCCTCTTTGCTTATGCCACTAGTATTGAATAAACCAAAACATGAACTCATTGTAGTTCATTGTGCAGGCTAAATTGCGTTAACGCAAACGCCAGGAAAATAATATGCATGTTCTTTTCTCATCCTGGAATTTATCTGGCAATCATAACCACCACCCTGCTGAGCACTTTCACGCATGGGCCTCCGTAATCCCACACCAACCATCTGATGGAGGTACGGTCATTGCCTGGCTTTAAAGAAGAGGAAACAGGGGCACAGAGAGTAGGTCACGGGCCTTGCCCAGGACTCTTCTATTAGCAACTCTGAACTCAGTTCCCATCAGGAAAATAAGCACACACCTGTCCCCAGATGCTTGTGAGTGGACCTGTGTGAGTGTCCACAGCCCAGCTGACCGCCAGACTGGCCCGATCTTGGGCTTGCAGTTTACACTGCAACCATGCACCCCTCAAGGGCACAGCATGACAGCTCTGAAGGGTCCTCTGGTTTCTCACTTTGTTTTTCAAAAGCCAGCCAGCCTGCTGAGTGTGCAGGCATGTCCTTCCAGCTCATCACTCAGCCTGGGTACCAGCAAAAGGATGACACTCAGGGCCAAAGGGCCCTGCAGGTCAGGTGGCATCCTGGCTACTGCCAGCAGCCTCTGATCTCCTGCGGAGGAGGCACAGCACATGCTTCCTAGGTGAGACAGGTTCCCCTGCCCTGAATTAGGAGACATGCTGCAGAAGCCCTGCTTGGAGTCTGCAACCTCCTCCCAAAAAGCAGGCCTGTTTCCTGTCTTTAGGAGAAGACCACCAGGCTGCAGGTGGAGGTGTAAAGGAAAAAAAGCATGGATTCTGTTTAGTTACCCAGGGTGGATAAATGCTATTTTCCTTTTACTTCACTATCACTACCACCGTCCCCCTCTGCTAATTTTTTTTTTTTTTCCGGTACTGGGGTTTGAACTCAGGGCCTACACCTTGAGCACTCCACCAGCCCTTTTTTTGTGATTTGTTTGTTTGTTTGTTTTTCTTCTAAATAGGGTTTCCCGAACTATTTGCCCAGGGTTGTCTTCAACCGCGATCCTTCTGATCTCTGCCTCCTTAGTAGCTGGGAATACAGGAGTGAGCCACCAGCGCCTGACTCATCTTCTGCCGATTTTGATTTCTAACAGGTCACCTAAGCCTTGAGATGTGGAGGATAGGTGGGGTCAGAAGGTGAGGTGACTTAGCATCTGATGTAAGTCGCAAGAAGATCACCAACCCGGCAGCAATTCCGATCCTCGGCACCCACAAAGTGGCAGGGAGAGGTTCTCGGGGGATATCCTCCGCGTGGGGGCACAGAGCCGCTTCTGCTCCCACTGCCTCCCGGGATCTGCGGGCTCTGGAACTGGACAGGGATGCTTCCCCGCGGCGCTGGTCCCTTTCCTGCAGGTCGCTGCGTCACACCTGTCCGCTCCTCCGCGAGGCCCCGGGCGCTACTACTACCAGCCCCTCGGCGCGGAGCCCTGTGTCCACGGCGCTTTGATCCCGGGGCCCCCACTGGATAAAAGTCCCCGGCGGCTCCGCGCCAACGCCAGAGAGGGAGCACAGTGGAGCCCGGCGCAGCAGCCTGGCAGCGCAGCGCAACGCCCGCCACAGACGCAGAGGACCTGGGGTCGCAAGGTCGGCCGCACTACCTACGGTGAGGGCTGGGCTCGGGGCAGTCGGGCTTGCGGGCTTGCAGGCCACGTGCGAGTGGTCCACTGCTGCACCGGGCCTGGGCGGGGGCGGGGAAGACACCGAGGCCCCAGGTGCACGCTCGCGCCTTGCGCCCCAACCCGTCGGGCCGGGCAGCTGTGCCGCCTGCAGAGCGCCCCCCGAGGCGGAAAGGCCTCGCTTCTCCCCGCCCCCCAGCCGCTCCCTGGGCGGGGGCAGCGGCGCCGGGCTGGCCGCGGTGAATGGAGTCTCCGGGGCCGCCCGGCGGCGCTGCCCCCCACGGAGCCGAGCCGGGAGCGCCTCCGGCGGCGGTGACGGGGTAGTCCAGGCCCTCCGTCAGGCTTGCGGTTTGGGAAGAAAAGGCGATGCCTCCGCCAAGAAAAGAGCGAGCGCGGCCCCCTTCCCCCTCTGCCGAATCCGGGCGGCGGCGGCGGCGGCGGCGGCGGCGGCGGCGGCGGCGGCACATCTAACGCTCGGGCACCCCGGCCGCCGCGGCCCCCGCAAACTACGCCCAGCTCGGCCCCCGCCGCTCATTGGCGCGGGCTGGAGCCAGCGCACCCAGACCCTGCGCTGCCCTCGGCCGGCTGCGCGTGGAGACCGAGCTTCGGAGGCCGGCGGCACCCGGCTCGGGAGCCTCGACGCCGAGAGCCAGCGCCGCCGCCTCGGTTAAGACCGGTGTGCAGAAGCGGGGGACTGGCGGGGCGCCGGTGAGCAGGAGCAGCTCGGACGTCCCCGGCCCGGCGTCCCCGCTGCCGCCGCCTCACAGCCTCCCGCTCTCCGCAGGTGGCCGCGGGCCCGAGTGGCGCGGCCATGGGTCGAGAGGTGCGCATGCTGCTGCTGCTGTTAGGCCTGCTGCACTGGGTCGGGGGTGGCGAGGGCAGGAAGACCTGGAGGCGCCGCGGCCAGCAGCCGCCCCCGCCGCCGCCCCCGCCACCGCCCCCCGCAGCGGGCCGAGGCGGCGCCGGCCGCCGGACAGCCGGTGGAGAGCTTCCCGCTGGACTTCACAGCCGTGGAAGGCAACATGGACAGCTTTATGGCGCAGGTCAAGAGCCTGGCGCAGTCCCTCTACCCTTGCTCCGCGCAGCAGCTCAACGAGGATCTGCGCCTGCACCTCCTGCTCAACACGTCCGTGACCTGCAACGACGGCAGCCCCGCCGGTAAGGCCCGCGCTGCCCAGGACCCCCAGGGGGCCCGTCTGGCCGTTCCCGCCCGTGTTCCCCACCCGAGTTCGGAGCCACCTCAACGCCGGTGGCTCCCGCATCCTCTGCCTTTCTGCTTGCGCTCACGACGCAGAGACTGCACGGGACACTCCCTAATGTCGGTGGCAGTTTTCGCTCCCAGGGGAAGGGACTCCCGTGGGCACCGAATGGTGCTGGCCATGGGAAGGGCTTGACTCGTTGCCTTCCCGAGCAGGGAAGGGGAAATACTTGAAAGCCTGGTTCCTGGTCAGCTCAGGCACTGACCCCTTGGCCACTGTACGCAGCACTTCTGCTCCCGTCCTTGGACGGAGAGACAGACGGCAGTTGGAGAGTGGCCCTGGCTTCAGCAAGAAGAGATGACTCTTGGTAACGGGACGAATCCTGGGTTCCGCACTCCCAACCCCACCTTGACTGCGGGTCAGCCAGGAATCCCAGCGCCGTGCGGAGGGAGAAGGAAAGGGCTCAGGGCACACGCACGCACACACACGCACACACAGCCTCGTGGTAAAGCACAAATGTGAAGTTGGGAGTCCGCGCAGGGATTGAGGCACCCACGCGCACAGTGGATCAATATTAGGCCAAGCCTTCGTGGCGCCCGCGTCTCCCCACGCTTGCCTAGCGTGTCCGGTTGCGCCCGCCCACGCACAGGCGCTTCTCCCACTCCAGTGCCACTGTGCGCCCCTCCCGCCCGCCGTCGGCGCCGAGGCTACCACGCGTCCCGCGCCAGGCGGGCCGTGGGGATTTTCCACGGACCACACAACTCCTCGCGGCCCTTCCCCGCCTCGCGAGCGCCACCTCCCGGGAGCGCCGCGGGGTTCCCCGGACCGGTGCGCTCTGCGTGAGCCTGGCCGCTGACGCCCCCGTGCGGCGGTCGCGAGCGCGGGGCGACAGGTGGAATGACCCTCTGCCCCGCAGCATGGGACTGTGGAGGGAGGTTAGCCAGTGGCCGTGCCCTCCGCAGCCCCATCTGACCTGCTCCGCGCGCCCTTCCCTCCAGCTACTACCTGAAAGAGTCCAAGGGCAGTCGACGGTGGCTACTGTTTTTGGAAGGTGGGTCCCAGAGTCGCGAGGTGGGCAGGGGTTCCCTGGACGTGTGGAGACCGAGCATGGTGGCTGTTCCCACAGGCGGCTGGTACTGCTTTAGCCGGGAGAACTGCGATTCCAGATACAACTCCATGCGGCGCCTCATGAGCTCCAAAGACTGGCCGCGCACTCGCACAGGTCAGGAGCCCCGACCTGCTTGCTGACTAGCAGGGAGGCCTGGCCTCGGGGCAAGTAGCAGGACATGGAGGGCTCTCGAAGTGAGGTCCTCCAAGAAAGACGCGTCCATGCCATAGAGCCCCAGGAAGGCCCCACCCCCTCACTTCTTCACCATCCCAGGCTCAGCCACTGTGGGCAGTGGTCATTCCCCCAGGGTCAAAGCAACTGGTGTAGGGTGGGGAGTTCAAAGGTCACATCCAGTGTCACTGCCTGGGCATCATGGCTATAGTAAGTTCCTGGGGTAACTATGTCCATCCATCTCCCACTTCTACAGCAACCCTGGTTCAGGCCAGTCCACTGCCCACGTCCCTTGCTGGGGCCAAGTAGAAACTATGGCAGGGATGTAGCCCCACCCCTGTGCAGCTCCCTCCCACCAGGAAGACCCACTCTGCTCCACAGGCAGTGGGATCCTGTCCTCCCAGCCAGAGGAGAACCCACACTGGTGGAACGCCAACATGGTGTAAGAGCACTGGAGTCCCGCCCAGACCTGCAGGGGGTAGTAGGCCTGGGGAGCGTCTTTTCTAGGGGAGGATACTTTCTGGGAGGGGGTCCTTCCTGAGAGAATGATCTTTTTGGGGGGTCTTTTCCTGGGGGATCCTCCTAGAAGGCAGGTATGGTTCTTCTTGGGGGAACTGGTCATTCTTGGGGGGTTCTATCCTGGGGTGGTCCTGTCCCAGGATGGTTCTTACTGGAGGGTTTGGTTCTTTCAGGAGGGGAGGGGGGGGGTCTTTCTTGGGGATTCTTTTGGGGGAATGGAATCTGGGCAACAGAACTATGGCAGGCTCATGTGATCCCATGTTGCAGTTTCATTCCTTACTGCTCCAGCGACGTTTGGAGTGGGGCTTCCTCCAAGCCTGAGAAGAGTGAGTGTTCTAATTTTCTTGAACCTCTCTACAGTGTATTTCAGGGTGCCTGCTTGTCTGTGGTTGGCCCGGTCCTTGTGGGAGGTTCCCACTCCTAAGTGTTCCCTGGGGAGGGACACCCAGAAGGGTCTCCTGCACCTGACCCACCTATCTTTAGCCTACCCCAGCCCCAGCCGATCCCCAGGATGGCCCCAGAACCCCTCCTCTCACTAGCCTGTGGTAGGAGGCCTTTCTCTGTTCCTGCCCCACCTGAAGTCACCTCCTCCTTCACACAGATGAGTATGCCTTCATGGGCGCCCTCATCATCCAGGAGGTGGTGCGAGAACTCCTGGGCAAAGGGCTGAGTGGGGCCAAAGTGCTGCTGCTGGCTGGGAGCAGGTGGGCAGGGGGGAACTGAGGGAGGGGGATGTACGTATGTGGAGGGAGCAGGGTTGTTGGGGAAGGGTGGGAGCAACCCTTGGGACAAGGCTGTGTTGGGATGTGGATGGAAGAGAGGGGGAGCAGAGCCGGGCAGATCTGGGATCCAGTCCTCTGTCCTCATAGAGCCCTGCTGGCTCCAGCCTTGCAGGCATTTCCAGGCAGCAAGCAGGGCAGAGGCTGGAGCCAGGAGAACCAGGTTCCTTAGGGGCATCTTGGAGGTTTGGCCGTGGAGTACTCTGTAATTGGAAACTGTCCAGAGAATGCCTCTAGACCCTGTGGTTGTGGCTACAGTGACCTAGGTAGTTGGTTAGTGGTCAGCTATGCACTTGATGCCCCTTCTCCAGGGTCCTGGCTCCTGGTAGGCCAGGGTAGCACCTACTGGTCAATCACTGTATCTCAGCAGGCAGGCAGGGCACATATATGGAATGGGTGAAACTGGCCTGAGGCCTGTAGTTTATTTTTATTTTCAGATGAGGAAACTCAGAGAGAGGAAGGGAAGGAGGGAAAGGAGAGCTCAGCTTCATGCATGAGAGAAGAGGTCCATCCTGCCAGCAGTAGCTCTGGGCCAGTGCCTAGAACTCTGCTAGTCCTTTTCTACCTCCAAACTCCCACAAGGTCCCTGGGTCTTGTACGTAGACAGGGACGAAGCCCAAAGTTCAGAATGCATTGTTCTGAGGCAGCAGGACTCCTGCCTTTCCTCAGGGCCTGGGCAGGGCAGTGACTGAGTCAGCTCTGGGTGGGCAGTGAGCACCCTTTCCTGGCCACCTGGCCTCATGTCTGGCTTTCCCTGCAGTGCTGGAGGTACTGGGGTACTGTTGAATGTGGACCGAGTGGCCGAGCAGCTGGAGGACCTGGGCTACCCAGCCATTCAAGTGCGGGGTCTGGTTGACTCAGGCTGGTTCCTGGACAACAAGCAGTACCGTGGCACAGACTGCGTGGACACCATCACCTGTGCACCCACGGAGGCCATCCGTCGAGGCATCAGGTGCCTAGGAGGGAGGGTCCAGCTCTCATGCCGGACCCTGTCAGTACAAAATGCCTGTTCAGGGGAGGAGCTCTGGGGCACAGGGACCCCACTGCAACCTAACCCATGGCTGTGGCTCCAGGTACTGGAATGGAATTGTCCCAGAGCGCTGTCGTCGCCAATTCAAGGAGGGCAAGGAATGGAACTGCTTCTTTGGCTACAAAGTGTACCCAACTCTGCGCTGTGAGTGACCAGCTTGGATGGAGTATATGGGAAGTAGTGGGATGTCCAGACTTGCTGCACCCCTCCTGAAAGTCCAGTCTGGAGTCCAGCCCCTGAGAGGCAGCCACCTCTATGTCAGGGCGATGGGTCTCTCCTGCTTGCCTTGGATGGTTCTGATTTTAGTATTGAGACCATTGAGCCTGAGCAAGCCAGTCAATCACTCTGTGTACACTGGTGCCAAGGGTTGCACTTTGGAGCTGAATCCCACCCCATCCTCTGCCCAGGCTGTCCCTCTGTGGCCACTGTGGTGCTGTCTGGAACCTTGAGAGCCAAGGTAGGCTGAGCTGAGCCATATCCCCTTCCCAGGTCCGGTGTTCGTGGTGCAGTGGCTGTTTGATGAGGCCCAGATGACTGTGGACAATGTACACCTCACAGGACAACCAGTGCAGGAGGGGCAGTGGCTGTACATTCAGAACCTGGGCCGTGAGCTGCGCAGCACGCTCAAAGATGTACCGTGAGTGTGCTAGGGTCCTGATCACTTAGCCCCTCCAAATCTGTAGCCAGCCACTCGATGTAAAAACAGAGGCCTGAAAAATGGCAAAAGATTCAGCTGTCCCAGACAAACAAATCCTGCTGCAGCCTCGCAGGCCCTGGCTGGACAAATGGACTCTAAGCAGGGTTTGAAGGCACGAAGGGCAAGGGTCAGCAGGGAGCATGCTGGCTGGCTGCTTGGGACAAGGACTGAACACTTGGGGAGCTGCTGGACACAGCAACAGGAAAGGGTGGCCATCAGGCAGAGGGTGGGTCCCAGGGGAGCAGGCTGGAGCTCCTTAACCTTAGCACGGGGTGGAGAAATTGGCTGGGGGTTACGGCACCCAGACAGGTTGTCTCCTCCCCACCCCGCAGGGCCAGCTTTGCCCCTGCCTGCCTCTCCCACGAAATCATCATCCGGAGGTCAGTGTCCTGGGGCCCTGGGGCAGCTTACATCCCTGGCACTAATTCCACACACCCACAGACTCCTCCCAAACCAGCACTTGTCCTCCCACGAGCCCTGCTGGCTCAGCATAAAGTGTCTTCTGAGGCTTCCAAAGCCACTACAGCTGGCTGTGGCCAGAATTCAACCTCAGCCCCCAGCAGTGGTAGTGATGGCCTCCATGACTCCCATTCTGGTTTCTGTCTGCAGCCACTGGACAGACATCCAGGTGAAGGGGACCTCGCTGCCACGGGCACTGCACTGCTGGGACAGAAGCCTCCATGACAGCCACAAAGCCAGCAAAACCCCCTTGAAGGGATGTCCCTTCCACTTGGTGGACAGCTGCCCCTGGCCCCACTGCAACCCCTCATGCCCCACCATTCGGGACCAGTTCACAGGGCAAGAGATGAATGTGGCCCAGTTCCTCATGCACATGGGCTTCGATGTGCAGACGGTGGCCCAGCAGCAGGGACTGGAGCCCAGCAGGCTGCTAGGAATGCTGAGTAGTGGAAGCTAGGGGCTCTGCCTGAGGAGGAGGCAGCTCCATGGGGCCAGGCCACCTCTGCCTCAGGGGCACCTCACCCCCACTGCCAGGCCCTCTGGCCTCTCCCAGGACCTACAGGATCCCAGCTGACCCCCGCCTGGGTGAGGATGCCTAACACAGCCAGGAGGGTGACTTGCCTGTAGCCCAGCTTTGTGCTGGGGACCCTTCCCAACTCCCTGTCCCCCCCAGCCCCCAGCCCACTGTGGAGAGGGGGTGCCAGAATCAAAGCACTGGATTCCTCAACCCGCCAGCTCAGACAGACCTGCCCAGCCCTCAACAGATCATGTCCTTTCGTATTATTTTATGAAGTGACTTTTTTATTACTTTAATTTTTTAAAAAGTAAGAAATATATGATGAATGATATTGTTCTGTAACATATTTTTTTTTAAATAATGAAAAAAGACAACAAAAGGAGCTCACCCTGAGACCTGTTTATTTGAAGGGCCATTCTGCTCACTTTGCCTGTCCCCCCAGAGTAGCAGGGGGACCTGGGGAGGGACTAAGGAGGCCCAGACCTCTCTCCCTTTCTTGAATGTTCAGTGGCTCACACCCCATCTTGTGTATTGCTCAAGCCCCTGTCTGAGGAGATCCTGTCCATCCATTCAGCAAATACCCACTTCCCAGTGTGGACTTTTTTTTTTTTTTTTTTTCAGTTCTGAGGCTTGAACTCGGAAACTACACCTTAAGCCATTCCACCAGTCCTTTTTTGTGAAGGCTTTTTTCGAGATAGGGTCTCAAGAACTATTTGCCCCGGGGTTGGCTTCGAACCATGATCCTCCTGATCTCTACCTCATGAGTAGCTAGGATTATGGGTGTGAGCCACTGGCGCCAGCCAGTGTCAATAATTGAGCTGTTACTTTCTTTTTTGGTGCCAGGGACAGAACCCAGGGCCTGAGCATGCTGGGGAAGTACTGTACCACTGAGCTACAACCCAGCCAACTTTCATTTTTTTATTGGAGTGAAATTCTATAACATACCATGAGCCATTTCACAGCGAACAACTCTGTGGCATTCAGCATATCCACAGTGTTGTGCAACCACAGCTCTCAAGCTTACACCCTCCAGAAGTACACACCCTACCCTCACATTCTCTCTCTCTTTTTTTCTTGGCAGTACTAGAGTTTGAACTCAGAGCTCTATCCCTCTCAACCTCTTTTTTTTTGTTTGTTTTGCTTTTAAACAGGAATCTATTTTAGTATAACTAGATAAAGTAGGGGGGAAAAAAGAGAAACGTCTCCTGCTCCCCAAGCAGGAAATGGGTATAAAGACTCCTTGTTTGCCAGGTGCCGGTGGCTCACGCCTGTAATCCTAGCCACTCAGGAGGCAGAGATCAGAAGGATCATGTTTGTAGCCAGCCTGGGCAAATAGTTCTAGGGACCCTATCTCAAAAAAACCATCACAAAAAAAGGGATGGTGGAGTAGCTCAAAGTGTAGGCACTGAGTTCAAGCCCCAGTACCACCAAAAACTCCTTGTTTTGTTTTTTGTTGTTTTGTTTATCAGTATTGGGGATCGAACCCAGGGACTCTCTAATACAAAAGCACTACCACTTGAGTCATGCCTCCAACCTTTTTTGGTTTAGTTAATTTTGAGATAGGGTCTTGCTTTTGTTCCTGGATTGGCTGGGACTGTAATTCCCCTATTTGTGCCTCTTGTGGCTGGACTGGCAGGTGTGTGCCATCATGCCCAGCTTTCATTCGTTGAGATGGCAACCTGAGCTTTTTGCCCAGGCTAGCCTTAAACCTCATTCCTTTCTCATAGCTAGGGGATGAACCATTTTCCCAGCCTGCAGAAATGTTTTACACACATACCAGTAAGTGTGTATGCATACATACACATGACTGCAGTTTTTCCCGGTATTGGGATTTTAACTCTGGGCCTTGTGATTGCTAGTCAACCACTCTACCACTTGAGCCCTCAGTGGGTTTTATTAAAAGCTCCAATTTACAGATGAAGCCTGAGTGCCACATCCAGCCTCTGACCCCAGGCAGGGAGTCTGCTTCTTTGGCCTACACAGTCCAACCTCCTTGGAGGGCCTCAGACAGCACTCCCTATAAGGACAGAGAGCTTGAGCAGGAGAGAAGACTGAAGGGACCAAGGCTGGGGAGAATGCAAAGAGGGAGGGCCCTGTGTGTAGGATCAGAGCTGGGAGGGGACACAGGAGCTGCTGCATGGAGGCCAATTCTTTGTGGGAGAAGGGTAGCCAGCAGTGACTTCAGCCTAATCTGAGGGACATCTCACTCCATTTGAAGTGGCACTGAGGTGTCCAAGGATGGCTTTGTGTGTCACCATGAGTCAGGCTCACTGAACAAGACACTTGTGGGTTAGGCCCTGAGGGATTTCTCCAGATGAATAAGCCCCTTTTCTCCCTTCATTGGTGAACGGGAAACAGGCACAGCTTACCTTTGACCTGGTGGTTAGTCAGTGGTGTGCTTTCCTGTCAAGACCAGATATAAAATGAGCCCCAGACACAAGCACAGGACAGAGGGTGCCACTCAGATTTGCCAACCTCCAAACCCACTGTGTTTTGTGAAGCATAATGGGACATGTGGCGCTCTCCATATTAATTCCTCAACTTTTCTAGAAACGTTGACCACACAAGGCAGGCAGTTTCTGTAGGAGCAATAGTCCTCAGGACATTCGCCCACCTTTGCACAAGCAGTGGCTTGAGGGTGGCCTCTGTCAGCTAGGATTCCAGCCACAGAACTTAAACTTCATGTCCACATCAATTACACTTTTACTGAAAAGGGTAAATAGATAGGAAACGCCTAGCAAGATCTCCTGCAGCCACCAGCTACCCTTGCTAGGCTCAGAGTAAAACGCTTATCCCAACCATGACCTCCAGGCCCTGTACGGAGTCGGCTTCTCCCCTCTCCTTTTTCGTGGACCCTGTCTCCCTGAACTCTGGCCCCCCAGGCCTCTTGGTTCCTGAGCACACCAGGCCCTTCTCTCTGCTGTGCCCCATCCCTCTGTTCCCTCTGATGTCACCTCTGTACTTGCCTGGCCCATCTGTTCTCCTCCTTGAGCTTTATAGCCCACTTCTCACCTCTTCAGCTTGGCCATCACTGGCTCTCCAAAAGGTGACCCTGCTTCTCTTCAAACCCCATGCTTCCTGTCCAGACAACTTACTTTCATCCATAAGGGGGTGGAGGCATGGATCAAGTAGTAGAGTGCCCTGAGTTCAAACCCCAGTGCCACCAAAACAAAAACTTACTTCCATTCATGATCACCTAGTTTGTGGTCTGATAGAACAATGATTTTTATCTTCCTGTCTGCTGCTGTTTCTCATGCATGAGAAAAGACTCATGTAGTGAAAACATTAACCAGAAGAAGCAGAAAAAAAGACATATGGCTGGAAATATTAAAGCCCGGGGCAAGTGAGGGGGAAGAGTGTGGAGGTGTTTATAAACTTGGTATGTGTGTCATGTCTAGTTCTAAGCAGGCCACTCTAGAAACATCATTGTAATACGCTTTGTTTATGCACTATTTGTTTATGAGAATGTTTGATAATATTTGTAAAAGTGTACCCTACTAGCAACAAGCACACCTACACCCAGATCCAAGTCTAACACTTCTTCAACAAAAAGAACCAGGATTCCATGGAGACAGGGCTGAGCTGGGTTGTGTCAATGCTTTTCCTGCTCTCGTGCACTTGACATTCACATGCAACACAGGATACTTCCAAAATGGTGATGGTAGTGGTGGTCCTTCACAGACACCCATCAACTCTGCTGGGTGTCACCTAACTCAATCCAGTGTGACCCTAGCTACCTGTTACAACAGGCTAAGGGCTTACTCCCCAAGACAGCCCCATGTGAGATGCCAGTGGGTGCCATCTGTCCCTCTGACCAGTGGGCTCTAAGTCAGATTCCCACAACCCCCTCCTCAAGTCCAGTGAATTTGCTAGGGCAGCTTGAGGACTCAGGGAAACACTTTACTTACCCATACTGGTTTATCCTAAAGGATATTATGCAGGGGACAGGTGGACAGCTAGTAGAGAGATGCCCAGGCCCAGGTGTGCGAAGGGGCAGAGCCTCCACGTTTTCTGCAGGAGCACCACCCTTGGGCATCTTCATACCAAGTGTGTAGCATCCTGAAGGCTCTCAGAACCAGTAGCTTTTACCTTATTTTCTTTTGTGTGTGCATGTGCAGTACTGAGGTTTGAACTCAGGGCCTACACCTTAAGCCACTCCACCAGCACTTTTTTGTGATTTTTTTTTTCCAAGATGGGGATCTTTTGTTTTTGGTTGAGAGAGGGTCTTGAACTGGCCTTGAACTCAAAATTCTCCTGCCTCAGCCTCCCAAGTGCTGGGATTACATGAATGTACCACCATGACCAGCTCCTTTTGTCTATTTTTTTTTTTTTTTGGCAGTACTGGGGTTTGACTCAGGGCATCATGCTTGCTAGGTAGGCATTCTACCACTTGAGTCACGGCACCAGCACTTTTTTGTGTTGTGTACTTTTGAGATAGGGTCTCTAACTATTTGCCTGGACTAGCTTTGAACCACTAATCTCCTGATCTCTGCTTCTTGAGTAACTAGGATTACAGGTGTGAATCACTGGTGCCCGACTTCCTCTTGGGTTTTAAAGGAAGCTTTGTATCTGGACATGGTAAGATAGAGAATTGCAGGCTAGCATGGGTTACAAAGAGAGACCCTGTCTCTAAGTAAATAAATAAATAAATAGAAAAGGAAGAAGACCAAATATGAGAACAAGATCTCTATAGGGACAGGGTTTTTCAGAGCTCTGCCTCAGGACCAGGGAACAGACCAAATACAAGTTTCTTATTGTATCACAGTATCATGGTTGGGAAACACACAGGCCAGAAAGTAAGAAAGTGCTAAAGCACTGAGGGGCAAGGGAGCCTAGTGTTGGCCGAAATGTCCTGATGGCCAAGGCTGGAACTTTTGGAGTCATAGGATAAAAATGTAGCTTTGGATTATCCATAGATTCCCATTGTTTAAATGAATAAT